CTCCACACTCACACCCTCAAGTGAAAAGTTTTTTTTGTCGCAATGCGTTCTTAAGTGAAGTTTATTTATATGTGTAAAAATTGAGACCATCAACGTTAGAAAAGAGTAATATAATAGTGTTAATATCATCGAATAAATTCGAATTTAAAATTTGATAACATCTTATTTGAATTAATAATTATATTTATAAAGATTTATTTAATCAATGTAAAATCTAAACATTAATTCATAGATAAAATTTTATGTGTTGAAAGATATGCCATAGAGAACTTACAATACAGGTGACGTTTTATTATCACTTTTATGCGTAATATTTAGGGTGTGGGTGTGAGGTGTGGGTGGGTGTGGGTGTATGGGAACGAAAGAAGACAACACCCACACCCCACATCCGCTGCGCGCGTCGAAGTAAAGACGGAAGGAATATAAGGAATACAGCACCGAGTGTCTATTTGCACAGCTAATGTGGCGAACACTCGACTGCGAACTAACACAAGAGTGTAAGTGGTCCACATTACTGACATGCTTCTGCTTGTGCTTCGCTTACTTTTATTAAAAAGAGAGAAATCGCTGTTTGCGAGTAATGAAACTAAATATTAACAGAGAGTAGTCGTAACATTTTCTCTTTTTATGAAGTATAAAACGGAAGTGAGCTCCTATAAAAACTGCTTCACTTTATGTAATAAGCAATCGTCACATATTCTTGTTCCTAAACTGAACTGCTTAGGTTCGTAATACTCTTCATCCTCTACTATGGCAAAGGTCTTATTTTGCTTTTAGAAATCAAACTTTCCAAATGGTTAACTCACGAAAGTTCGTTGTTTTCCTCGTGCTTGCATTCATTGTTGGCACAATGATTGAAGAGGCTCAAGCCACCTGCTAGGATGATTGGAGCCGGTGTACTGGTTGGAGCTACTATATACCCCTCTGGCGCTCTTGTGATAACAGATGCAAAGAATTGGGGAAAAGAGGCGGTAATTGTAAGCTCAAGAAAAATACCTGTCCGCAGCTGTTCGACAAGGACTACGAAGTCGCCTTCTGTGAATGCTACTCATAAGCTGTAGGATAGATGCATTCATGTTTTCATTACTTTAAAAAATATCTCATTCTGTACACTTTAGGATCTCTATCAACGATTCGCGCGCCGAAGTGCTGTACTTTATTATATCCTTTAAATCAAAATAAAGCGGAGTATCATATTCGAAAAATGATCGTCACTCATGTGCTGTCTATCTGATTAGTTCTTCGTGAACCTTCAATTCATATTAATTTGTAGAAAATGTCTCTTGATGAGCTGATTTACTTCACTTCTAAGCTTCAGTGACTTGAAAACGAATTCCATAATTGATCAGCAAGACTAGAAAATGTCAAACGGCTTTCGAAACATTGTCTCAAAGATTTGTTGAGCATCTCAATATACACTTCCACTTAAACAACTATTTGAAAGTTTCGCTGCCATCGTTGTTTTTCTTTGTGCATTTCACTGTCAGACAAGATTGCTGTAGTATGAATGTTCAAATAATTCAGTGACAACTATAGAAGTTCGCACAAAATCTAGTTTTTGAAAGTGAACTAATTCGATGATTTTTCAGAATTTTTTAACGCTGCAGTGTCCAAACATCAATAGTGGTCTGTCTCACTAGAAGGTTACAGCCAAAGCTGTTGAAAAAGGAAAACGTTTCTCTTGAGTGTGTCCATATAACTGCTGTTATATACGATGAAAAGCAAAGATATATTCAAATCATACTATTAAGAATTTACCAATTTGAGTAAGTCCCATTGAATTTCCGAAAAAAGCACGATTCTTCAATAAAAATAAAGAGTTAAACTGAATGTTTCCATAGTGAAATCGAGAAGGGTGTGGGTGTGGTGCAGAGATGGAACCGGTACCGGTATGAGTTTCAGACCGGCCAATAACCGGTAGACCTGCCGGTAACCGGTAGACCAACCTGGTTGACCTTTTCAGACTAGTACCAGTACCAGTCGTCATAATTTCAGCCTGGTTCCTTCTCTATATCAGGTATGTGATACAACTTGGCACATCAACTTTGTCACTCGATAAACCGAATTTTCCATATCTAAAGTACTCTTTCTCTACTACTGTGCATTATCGATGTATCATTAGTTACCGGTAGACCGGTCAGTTACCGGTAGGCCGGCCGGTCGCCGATAGACTGGTCAATTACCGGTACACCGGCGGGTCCGGTCCTGTCTGTCCTTTTCAGACCGGTACCGGTACCGATCTTCCAAAATTCAGACCGGTTTCCTCTCTGGTGTGGTGAGTGTGGATGTGGAGAAAGGCAATAACCACACCCAACCACAGCTACACTCACACCCACCCCCACCGCACTCAGCCACATCCACACCCCACCCACAACCACCCACACCGCACTCAGCTACATCCACGCCCACATCGCACTCAGCCACACCCACACCCATACCCACAGCCATGCACCCACACCCACCCACACCCGCACCCAAAGTTGGAAAAAGTGATCAGAGACACTCGTATTTTCTTTAAGTCAGAAAACGCTCACGCTCACGCTCATGAGCGTGAGCGTGAGCTGTACAGCCCTAGTTTTTTCTATAAAATATTTTGGGCGAAAAAAATGGCCTTACCAACGCTTATCCTTTTGACTATCATGGCTGATATTGAGCAAAGAAATGAACGAATACAATTCATTCATTCTTCTTGGCATGTAATTATACGAAAAAGAAGTAGAATATCGAAAAAAATGCGATTTTCAATTGTTTAAATCTTAAAAGAGCAAAAGTTCGAAATTTTAATCTTTTCACTTTTTGGAAAGAAAATTGCGTAAAATGTCCTCTCATTCAATAAAATCAACGATAAATTTTTATTCAACAAGATTCTTGATAATTCATCAGTAGATTTATAAAGTCTAATTAATATATTTTATTTTATTCTAAACGTAATATTGTGTATTGTAAGAAGCATGCTACATAAGAAATCTTTTGTTTGACAAGAGAATGGTACACTGACCAATAGACCATGAAGAAATTATAAGTGAAAATATATGGTAGAAAGAAAAATATCATCATATATTCGGTGGTCAAATAGACTGAGCTAATTCAAAATGAATTAAGAAACATGATTGACCTTTCTATCTAGCAATGTCAATTCCATTGATTAGTTCATTTTAAATTAGTTTAGTCTGTTGGTTTTCTTTATCATAGAACAACATGACGGCATCGATATTTATTCCACTCTAAAAAATGCCGTGCGTCTTGCAAGACACTTCAAGTGTCTATTCTACATTTATTTTGCTTGAGAGTCTAAAATTGGTTATCCGTTGACACTTGACACGTCTAACTGAGACACGTGATGCGTCTTTTTTCTAGTCGTATGATGTGGCTTAGCTAGACGTGCCAACTGTCAACGGATAACCAATTTTAGACGCTCAAGCAAAATAAATGCAAAATACACACTCGAAGCGTCTTGCCTAAGCGTCTTAATTTTTTAGAGTGTCGTCATTGTTCTTATAGGCGGCAATGAGAAAATGCAAACATCTATATATATGTTATGACCGAAGTTGAAGTTCAGCCCAATTCAGAATTTGTCCAAAATTGTTGGTCGAATTCTGAATTGGGCTAAACTTTGTCTGGACAAAATCATAATTTAACCAACAATTTTGGACGAATTCTGAATTGGGCTGAATTCCAAGTTCGGCCACAACATACATATTGACATGAACTCATTTTATGAGCTAGACATGAACAACTTAAATAACAGTCATCTTAACATACTTGATTTACCCGATGAAATTGTATTCATCATTTTTCATAAACTCAATACGATTGATGTTCTTTCTTCAGTTGTGGATGTTAATCGACGATTTCGCCGATTAGTCCTTGCTTCTCTTTATATTCGTGATCTCGATATGGCTTCTACCATGAGCCTCACTTCAGAGAAACCTTCTTCTATGGATACTCAAGTTATTTCATCAATTTGTTCGAATATCTTACCTCAAATTCATTTACAAGTACATAAACTCACTGTTGAAGAGCATTCAATGAAACAAATACTTTATGCTGCCAATTATCCTCAACTTTATTCATTATCACTTGTAAATTTTCACGAAATAACACTTCATCGATATTTAACAGGTATAGGATTTTATATTGTTTTTACGATTAAAAAAAAGTAACATACTTAAATAATTATCTTTTCTTTTATTTTCTAAATTTAGATGATTTAATTTTTCGTGATCTTTTGACCAAACAAATAACTCATTTGAATATTGATATTATAAAACCAGTTGAATTCTGCTCGGAAATTATTTCAAATATGTTTGCATTAATCTTATCTTTATGTAAAAAATTAATTGCATTGAATTTTTGTGATATGTTTCCTACACGACAGTTTCAGAGTCTTATTTTCCATGTTATATTGGAGATTTTTATATCTTCAACTTTAATGAAATTGAAAATTAATGTTGTGAGTTTAATTGATTGTCTCTATATACTTGATGGACCTTTCGTTTGTTTATCAACATTAATTATTAATATTGGACAAATTTTTCATATATGTCTACGTATTGATCCAACAGTAAGTATATTATTTCAATGATTGTGTTTAGAAGAAAACAACATTAAATCAAATAATTAAATAAATATTTCGAATTTTCTGTTTTTTTTATAGAAAAAACTTCCTCAATTGAAATGTCTTTCATTCACTGTACAAAGTACGACATTTGAATATGATGAATTAATTGTTCCATTATTTTGTCGAATGATAAATCTTGAAGAATTGAAATTATATCTATTAGTTGGAAGATTGAATTCAACTTATATTGATGGTATTCAATTATATGACACAATTAAAGAAATTTACATTTAATATCAAGTCCGAGATCTACGACACGAATGTTGAAGTTGAACTTCAATCGAATGAAGATATTCAACGTAGTTTCATCAGAAGAGGTTATCAAAAAGTAGCTTTATATGTTAATACTAACTTATGTTCTAGATATAGCGAATGCCATATCTATTCACTGCCGTATGATTTCGAATTTTATGTTTATCCCCAGAATTCTTTTCAACGTGGCATGTTTCATAAAGTTCGAAAATTGAAGATGAGTGATGGAATTCCATTTGAACATAAATTATTTAAATTCATCGCTCAAGAATTTCCTTTCCTCGAATTTTTATATATATGTAATGATAATCCACAAGAAAACAAGCAAGATTCATCAACATTAATTACATTTCCTTATCTCACAGTCCTTGACTTAGAAAAAGCACATGTTGACTATGCTGAATTATTTCTTTTGGAAAAAAATATGCATCTACCTCGTTTGGTAAATCTTTCCGTAAACAACAAATCACTCACAACAATAACAAACAATTTTACCAATGATCCAACACTTTTTAATTTTGGTAAATTGACAAGCCTTGTATGTCAAAAATTTGTTTCTCCAAAAAATTTTTGTAAATATTTTCCTTTGTTATAAATTGTTTCAATAAAAAAATATATGTAAATAAAACTATACTCTTGTGCTTTTGGTTAACTCTTACACTATATGAATTACATTTTTCAATGATTTACATAATTGACTGCAGAAGGATGAATCCTGTGTGTTCAATAACAGAGGTCGAGAAACCTCTGTTATTGAACACTGCATTTGAGACATAGTTCAACAGTTTAGCAAGACAATGTAAAACTACGGTGATTTAAGATCGTAATATTCTTAATCGAAGGATATTCGCACTGATTAGTAATCATTGTCATACCACCTACAGTTCATCTAACTCTGTGTTTTTTATTCACACTTTAGATCAAATTTTCAACAGTATTTTTCTTTAATACAAACACATCATTGCAATTGTATATAGTTTTGGAATTGTCATGTAAACGTGTAATCATTATACAAAATAGCGAGACCCCGTGCAAACTACACGGAGAGTGTGGGTGTTTCTCTTCTATTCAACTCCGTCACACCTACACCCACCCACACCCTCGATATACCGAAGGCAATAAAGTTGATTATTTTAAGAGAGATTTAGTAATAAATGTCTAACTCTCATTCGATCTAGTCATTAAATTGATGAAAAAACTACATACATTTGTCTTGTTCCACCCAATAGTAGAATTTGAATATCAAGAAAAACGTAAAATTTCATTTGAAGAGCTTCAAATTATTTATCGAAATCCTTCGTATTGTTATGTCTAATTATATAGATATTGGGAAATTTGACCTATGAAAGGCAATATGTCATTAGTAATACACCTTACACTTGAATAAAATCTTCCTTGTCGAAATGTTATGAAACTCACTAACAATTTAATTATGAGGAAGCTCAAGTCCAGATTTCGGATTCCGTAGTTTTTTTCACAGCCACACTTCTTTTAAGAAGAGTCCTTCTTGAGAAGAAACTTTAGGTTCTAATTTTTGCTCCTTTACAGCAACTTATTTTGAGAAAAACTCGTTCAAAGATACAATCTTTTCCCTGTGACATATACATATTATGTATTGTTTTGCATTTCTTTGCTGAAGCTTTCTTGTATTTCGTTTTTTCGTATTCATGATGGCCTTTTTATTCTTATATGTTGCTTGTGCATTTCAGAATGAACAGAAACTGTATCAATAAGCATTTTACTCTCGAAAAACAAAAAGAATTTTTTGAATTCGCGTTGAATTCTATATGGAACAGATTCCGTTTGATGTCAATTTTTTGATTGAAAAGAAAAACAATGAATTATTTATTAAATAAGATATAAATATACGATGAAAAATGTTTTCTTCAGAGAAAAAGAAATCAAACAGGTAAGTTATTTACTGAGAAATGAATCGTATACTTTTTATAAATCAAAAACAAGACTTTTAAAATTGAACTTAAATCGATCTATTTTCTTGGAACATTGAAATTGTATTTGATATATTAGTTTATTTTATTTTAGTTAAAAGAAAAGAATCAGCTTTGAAAGTGAAGATGGAGTATTTTTCGAGATAATATCATTTAGAATCGAATGTTGATTGAACATTGTCATTGAAGATACATAATTAGATATTGTATGAAAAGAAACTCAAAGTTTGTTAATATTAGGACAGAAGAGGGGTTAATACTAAATCACAGCATGTATCTACAAATACCATTCATAAGAGAAATAGTTTAATTGTATAGAAGTTCGCATTGATTAGATGCGGATAGCTTTGTTGCTGGAAGACGATTTATTTCTGAAATATCGATGTATAAGCAATTGATTGCTCTTCAATGTTAATTTTTTTAAGACTAAAACGTATTGCTCAAACCTTTTTGTTACTGACTAGTTGTGGCATCTTTTCTCGTAAAATTATTTCTACATTAATATCCAATAAATGAAAACTATGAGAATACATGGAGAAGAGAAAGTTCTTCTAACTAAAAAGATGCTATTTCAACGAAAAAAGAAAAGAAAAGATGCTTGTTCGTCATCGTGGATGGGAACAGGTAGTGAAAACAAAAACAGAACGTTCAACAGTTATTTCTGTTCTCCAATGGACACTTCTTCGTCATGTAACTCAATCACTTGACCAAATAAATGATGAAGATACAAAAAAGAATATACTTTGGAAAGAAATGTATTGGTTAAATCAATATTGGGCTCAACCTGTACCTAAATCAAGTATAGCTCCAAAATATTCGCAAAGACTTTTTATTACTAAATCACTGAACACTCGACGTGATCTTTATGAGTAAGTTAAATAAATAAAATAATTCTCTTTTTTTTTAATATTTTTATTTGAAGATATTTATGGGATGAAGAAGCACGAAGAGAACGTCTTCGATTTCGAATGAAAAAAAGAAAAGAAAAATTTGCTGCTACGTTCGATTCTAATCGATTGGAATCTCCTTTTCATCGAGGGTGTGGGTGTGGACGTGGGTGTGGATGTGGGTGTGGGTGTGGGTGTTCTCCCATCGCACCTAAACCCACACCCTACACATCCACACCTAAACTCACACGCACACTCAAACCCACACACCCACACCCTGTCTTAAAATCTTTGGGATAAGTCACTACTCGAATATGTATTAATAACAGAAACACTGATATTTCTATTCAGTTTTTCCGAACCCTTCATCTTCAAATTGCTATAAATCCATCACATTTGGTCAAAATTCGCTGAACGTTTTTCCGAACTGTAGTCACTTACCCTTCTTATGTGTGACTAACGTATATCTCCGGTGGCTGTCCTTGTTGAATTCTCATGACTTCGAAAGCTTATTCACTGCTTGTTAAGTTACAGTCCTGTTCTAGTACTTCTTTGGTTTTTGTTCTTTACATTTTTTTTGTTTTGACGTTTGCATTCTTATCTGAAAGAATAAAGACGATTTAGTGTTGTATTTTTCTTGTTAGGTTGTTTTTTTTGTTTTTGACGACGGAGCAGAGATATTCTCAGTGTCGCACTGCAGAACCAAAAGACAGAAATACAAACATCGAAATTAATTTCACAATGTTACCAAAAACGCGGAGTATTCTGCATCAGAGAACCGTGAGATATATTATAATTCCAAT